CGCTGCGGTACTAATGATCCTGCCCCTCAGTATATCCTCTCACTGCCCCCTATCTCGCTGCGGTACTAATCATCCTGCCCGTCAGTATATCTTCTCATTGTCTCTTTTCTCATTGCAGGCCCAACCATTCTGGGTCTCTATATCCTCTTACTGGCTCCTGGCAGAAAGCTCACAATGTTTTAAAAATACTTAGATATTCTCTTTGGGGAGAAAAACATGTTCATTTCTGGCTGAGCCCAGCACTTACTTCTCATCCCTATTGCTTAGACAGCAGTCAGCCACATTGCTGTGAGCCTGCACATGTAGGCCAGACTGGGTAAAAATGATAGCGGTCTTTCCCTGAAGGACGCTAGTAAACCAGATGAGTTGTTACATTAATCAGCAGTGGTTACATGGTCATTATTAGGCTTTTGTGTTCCACATTTTTATTGAATCCAATTTCCACCATCTACAGTGGGCAGAACATTAGGCTTGAGCTGTGAACTACTATCTGATACAATTATCACTATGCCACTGCCTCCCTTCAACTGGCTCAATTTACAAGGCGACAGAGCAAGGACTGGAAGGTGGGATTAAGTTGCGCGGCTCTGGTTGACCAGCATTGACAAGGTGCTGGCCTTCTTCAACATGCAGATTTCTGAGAGTCGACAGACCCAACTTTTGTTTTATAGACAAGCGTCAGGATAACATTCTGTCAGGGAATCAAGTCATTATTTGTCTTCCTATTGTTTGGCTTCATGCCCTAGGTGTTGTGTATTGTTTTATTATGCATGTAAGCAATTTGAAAAATAACCAGATTTTCAATATTTAAATTTTCTCCTGTATATCAATTAAAGTTACAAAATATAAAAATAAATGTAAATTTCTATTTTCTTTTTAAAGCAATGATAACTTGCCAACCTGATCAGTTCCAGTGCAGTGATGGGAGCTGCATCCACGGATCGAAACAGTGTAACCAAATCTTTGACTGTCTGGATCGAATTGATGAGCTAGACTGCCTGAATGGTTTGTCCTGATTATTTTAAGACACCCATCAAACATTAAATTGTCAGTGCCTATTGAGTAGTTGCTGATCTTTTCTTGCTGTTTTTGATGCTCAATAGTGACCCCATGCAAAGGGCTGCAGAAATTTCTGTGCAAGAGTGGAGAATGTATCGATATGGACAAAGTATGTGACTCACATAGGGACTGCTTGGACTGGTCAGACGAACCACTCAAAGAATGTGGTAAGGTGGATCAAGAGTGGTGAATGCTTTTTATGCTCGCTATATGGTCAGTACTCGCCTCATATAATTAAATGAAAAGCAATAGCAGAGATAGAAGCTTTCAGAGGGATGAGTTAAGGTTGTGTAATAGCTGAAGAAATCGGACTTCCTTTAATATTTATAGGCAATGCAACTTTTGTGCTCCTTTTGTGCTTTACAGTGAGTTTTGATCTCACTAAAGTCAGTGATGTCAGTACTAGGAAACAGGGCACTAACTGTTGAACACCCAGTGTCAGTGTTTTATCGTAAAGCACTGTACAACCAATTAAACACTTCTGAAATCTGGTCACTATTGTAATGAAAGAAATATAACACCCAATTTGTGCACAAGATGATCCCAAAAAGAGGAATACAAGAACAATCAGTCAAGTGTTGCTGAGGGATAAATATGAGCCAGGACAGGGGACAGAGTATTTTATGCCCACCTGAGAGGTCAGGCAGGATCCCAACTTAACATTTCATCCAATATATGATGCCTCTAACAGCCTAACATTCTCTTGGTACTGCACTGAAGTTGGAGGGGGAGTGAGGGCGAGGGGATGTGCTAGATTTTGCACTGTCCTTGAATCTCAGAAAGGAGCTTGAACCTACAACCTTGAGTCAGAGGTAAAAACAGCCACGGCTAACATAGCATTGTGCAATACCAGATCCAATAGAAGATTGGCTAAATAGAATAAAACTGCTGCTACATATTGCTGCAGCTTGTGGCAGCCTCCATCTTGAAGAGTATCCTGTGCAATAATCCACACTAGTCTATAAAACTGTTCTGTAAAAATAGACCAGTTCAATGCAACTGTCTTTTGGGCCCATTGTCTCTATGAACTATATGAAATCTGCCTGATCACATTTTACTTGGGCTTCTTGCAACCACCAGGAACGTCTTTCTTTCCTTCAAGCAGCTGGCTGACAGCCTCTGTCTAAGCTTTCACATTGTGAGTGTAGCTATCTGGATGAGGCATTGGAGGATTGCTGGTGTATTCCAGCTGGAACTTGCAAAACAGAAACTAGCCTACTTTTTCAAAACATTCACCTGAAAATGTAACATTTGATGAAGGTGCCACCAGAAAACATTTTGGATACTGTTTGGATACATAAAAATATTTAAGGGAATTTAGTTGCAATTACCTGTTCTCTTGTCATGTGCCTTTATGCCCAGATTCTGGTTCGGACAGATTGGTTGGGAGAAGATGTGACTGTCTTCAGACTTGGGCTTTCTCAAAACTCTGTTTATTACATATTAACATAAATACTCTATACATTAAATTCCGAGATGTATCTGGCTCTGACTGTTGTCCTACATTGTTGAGACTATTTGCTACCTGCATCTATCTCTCTTCTAATCAATCCTATCCATGGCATGGCTTCAATCATGCAATTGACTAACCAACTTACTAGGACATATTAACACACTCCTCCCACAATATGCTATTCATGTGTAGTAAGGAGTAACTCTGCGACATAATTGCAAGGTTGTTCTTGGGTCCTAAAGCTCTGCTGTACAACCATTTCAAATTCAATATTCACTCGTCTTTGTCATATTCTAATGTGACTAGAGTCTACGTGAATTTACTCAGACTGTCGTTTAGAAAATGTTTGAGTTTTCCAACTAATGTTTTGTGATTTGACTAGACCAATAGTGTCATTGATCTGATAGAAGTGAACTACTTTGGTGTCTTGTTGCGTTGTCTGTTTCAGGTTTAAATGAGTGCCTGACCAACAATGGTGGCTGCTCCCATACATGTAGAGACTTGAAGGTTGGATATGAATGTGAATGCCCAGCTGGCTACAAACTGCTGGACACAAAGACGTGCGGAGGTAATTAAAATTCAAGGCAGCTCCTGACTTCAGTCAATCGTTTAAATAAAGAGCTGACTGTCTAACAGTGTTTTCGTGTATCAATACTGTTGCACAGAGATTTCAGTGCATTTATTGACTAGTCGAAATGCTTCTTTCAGATATAAATGAATGTGAGGATCTGGACCGATGCAGTCAGGTCTGCACCAATATTAAAGGAGGGTACAAGTGCAATTGCTTCCAAGGTTATGAGATGGATCCAATGACTGAAACTTGCAAAGCAGTGGGTAAGAAGGTGGTGTCTGGCACTGGGTACAATTGTATTGTCAATGGCAGCGTAAGATCCTAAATGGTGACTGTTGGTAGGTAGTTTGAGCATTAGTCTGATCCTGCCTTCCTGTGATGTTAACACAAATGCATCTTCCAACAGGTATCCCCACATAGCAAGATCAGGAACATCTCGCTAATTTTTTTTTGCCTCCACCTTCTTGCTCCAGAAGCAATTAAGGCCATTTGTAGTTTCTCACCTATTGTCCCAGATGAACTTGTCTAATTCAGAAATGGAGCCAGGAACAGACAGAGAGAATGCTGGAGAACCTCAGCAGGTCTGGCAGCATCTGTAGAGAGAGAGAGAGAAACAGAGTGAATATTTCGAGTCCAGTATGACTGGAGAAACTCAGCAGTCCTACCGGACTTAACAGTCATACTGGACACGAAACATTCACTCTGTTTCTCTCTCTCCACAGATGCTGCCAGACCTGCTGAGGTTCTCCAACACTTTGTGTGTGTCTCAGATTTCCAGCATCCACAGAACTTTGCTTTTATTTTAATGAAACCAGGAGATGTAGCTCCGTTCCACACCATATGGTGGCATTTTACTTTTGAGGAATCAGAGACTGCAATGAGAATTGGCAGCTGAAATTTGAAGTATTTTGATGACGACTAGTATCCTGTATCATACCCTAAGCTCCACATTAATTTCCGGAGTTTCATATGGTGAAAACAAAGTCTTCCTATTCCTCTTTGGTGATTTTTATATTTAATGTGACCATCAAGAATCAAGGTTCCAGACATTAGCAGTTCAAAGGTAGTTTGTTTCCACCAGGAGCAGGGTCCTCTTGATAGTATGCTGAAAATGTTTCTTGACTTTATCAGCAGGCCTGAGTCTCCCCTCTCCCCTCAGTATGCTCAGTTGGCTGGACTGCCGGTTTGGGATGCAGAGTGTTGCCAACAGCATAGGTTCAATTCCCACATCGGCTGGGGTTCTAATGAAGAAATCTGCTTTTCAACCTCTGGTTGAGCAGCTGTCTGGTCCGGTAGGTCTATGGCAACATCTGTATGACTTTTTGAAAGTCTTTTCATCAATAGCAGTTTGCATTTTTTAATGGTACCTGTATCTTGATAAAATGGTCATTTCTGAAATGCAAAAACCAGTAATTGTTGAAGGTACATACATCGGGAAGATGTACTGAAGGTGTCAAAACTTTGTTGAGCCTTTTCAAGAAGGGAGAACAGTAGTGAGGGAATTCGAAAATGTGGAACTGAGTTAGCTAATGCTTTAGAATGGAGAGGGTCCAAAAGAGACCAGAAAGGGAAGATTGGCAGCTGCCTCTTCGAATTTAGAATGGCAGAATTTTGTCAATAATGACAATCTTGTGGAGGAACTTGTGTAACGGGGCATGGATTTTGAATTCATGCACTGGGAATAGGGAACAAGTTGAGGTTGACAAGTCCAATAATGATGGAGTTGGCACAGGATAAATTGTGGGTAGTGGAATTTAAATTAAGTTGGATTTTATGCAGAGCAAATCATAACAGGCATCCTCATTTACTAATTCATGCCAACAAAGGGCAATTTAGTGCCACATGTGAATACTGACTCTGAACTGGATTGGACTTGCCTATGCTCACTCATGTAGCTGTTTTCAGATGGCAGAAGAAATGTTCATGCCATTAGTTATGTACTTTCCTGCCAATCCATCCTGGTCCTGATCTTCCAAAATCCTGGATCGACAAACATCTAAATTAGGAGCAGGAGGAGTTGATTTGGTTCCTCAAATCTGTCCGCTATTTGATAGGATCATGCCTGATTCATGCAGGACCTCTAATCTTTCTTGCCCACTCCATACCCTTAGACTAAAGAGTCCATCAAGAATATCCAGCTCAGTTTTAATAGGGTTCAATGACCCTGCCTCCACTGCTGTCTGGGGAACAGAATTCCACCAGCTAACAACCCTCTGTGGGGAAAAAAGAGTCTCCTTATCTCTGTCTTAAATGCATTTCTTTTTTTTGAAACTGTACTCCTTTGAACTGGTCTCTCCTACAGGGAGAACAACCCCACAATATTCACGTTGTCATATCCCCTTAGAATTCTAAACGTTTCAATAAGATCTCCCCTTGTTTTCAAACACAGATAATGTGCTCAACCTGCCTAACCTTTCCTTTATAAGACATAATCTCTTCGTCCAAAGAATCAATTGAATTTCGGGTTATTTGTATAAAAAAGCAGACATTCATGCCCTTACCAAAGTTTTCCTGCGTCCCACACATTAACTGCTCAGAAATTCAGACAGTCCAAAGTCCTCATCTAATTGGTACAAAACATATGACTGAAATTATTCTGGATCTTGCTCCATCACAAAACCAGATCTTCTGGCCAGATTGAAAACTTGCAGCCCTCTCTTAGGCTAACGTTGGGCCTGATACAGTCTACTTAGTAATGTTTTACAACTCCTCATAGTGGCACATGACACACAGCAGTACGTTGCAAGAAAGGGCAAGAAAGATAATAAAAATATCCAAGTCCCTATTTACCATACCAGCGCTCCTACTCAGTAGCAGGAAATAGAGCTCCTTGCTGTGTTAATGTTGGGTGGGTTCTATTTATTAGTTAATTCTTTTGTTTTATTTGCTAGAACAATTTTTTTTTTGCTTTCTTTATAGGTACAAGTCCCGCAGTGGTCTTCACCAATAGCCATGAGATTAGAATGATTAATTTGATGAAGAAGGAGTATACACGTCTTGTACCTGCATTAAAGAATGTGGTGGCTCTGGATGTTGATGTTGAAGCTGAAAAGATATATTGGATTGATCTGTACTACAAAGAGATATATAGGTAATTTTTTTTTGTCTTAATTGTTCATGGGGTGTGGGCATTGTCTACTATGCTGGCATTTATTACCCCTCCCTAATTTTCTTTGAACTGAACTGCCTTCTTGAACTGCTGCAGTCTTTGGAATTTAGGAACACCCACTGTACTGCAAGGATGGAACAAGAGGTGGATCCAAGTCAGGATGGTGTGTGGTTTGGAAGCAGGTTTGCAGGTGGTATTCCTACCATACATCTGTTGTCCTTGCCCTTCAATCTGGCAGGGGTTGTGGGTTTGGAAGGTGCTGTCAAAGGAGCCTGCAGTGTGTTTTGTAGCTGGTACACTCTGTGCCAATCAAGCAGATTGCTTTAACTGAAGGTGTTGAGCTGCTTGAGTGTTTTGGAGATTCATTATTTGGGCAAGTGCTGAATATCCCATCATACTCTTGACTTGTGCCTTGTAGATTAGAGACAGCCACAGGATGGGACTTTTACTCAGTGCAGGATTCCTAACACTTCACCTGTTCTTGTAGCCTCAGGTTTCACACAGTAGGTCCACTTTAGTTTCTGGTCAATGCTAACCCCAGGATGTTGATACTGGGGGATTCAGCAATGTTAATGCTACTGAATATCCAAAAGGTGATGGTGGGTTTCTGTCTTGTTGGATATGGTCATTGCCTGGATTTTTATGGCAGCTAATATTACTTGCCTTGTATCAGCCCAACTTAATGTTGTCCAGGTCTTCCTACATCTGGACATTGTCTGCTTCAGTATCTGAGTAGTCATGAATGGTGCTGAATGTTGTGCAGTCATCAGTGAACATCCCCATTCCGACCTTATAATGGAGGGAAGATCACCAAAGCAGCTGAAGGTTGGGTCTAAGAAAATACCCTGAACAGCCTCTGCAGAGCTGTCATAGGACTGAGATGGCTGACTTTCAACAAACACAATGATCTTCCTTTGTATCAGTTATGACTCCAACCAGAAGAGAGCTCCTCCCTCCAATTCCAATGGCTCCAATTTTGCTTAGGCTTCTTGGTTCCACACTGTCAAATGCAGCCTTGATCTCAAAGGCAGTCACGCTCACCTCACTTCTGGAGCTCAGCTCTTTTGTCCCTGTTCGGAAAAGGCTGTAATGAAGTCAGGAACTGAGTGGCCCTGGCTGAACCCAAACTGGGCGTCACTGAGTGGGGTATTGCTGAGCAGGTGCTGCTGGTCAGCACTGTTGATGACACTTTCCATCACTTTACTGATGATAAAAGAATAGACAGACAGGCCAGTAATTGGCTGGGTTGGACTTGCCCTGCTTTTATGGACAGAACGCATCTAGACAATTTTCCAAGTATTGGTTAGATCCCACTGTTGTAATTGTGTTGGAACAGTTTGGCTAGGGATAGTCCTGGAGCACAAGTGTTCAGTAGTTCAGTATTATTGCTGGAATAACATTGTGGTCTATAGCCTTTGCAGAATCTGGTGTCTTCAGCCATTTCTTTGTCACATGGAGTAAACTGAATTGATTGAAGACTGCTTGAGCCTCAGGAAGAGGCTATAATAGATCATCCACTCAGCACTTCTGACTGAAGATGGTTGCAAATGCCTCAGTTTTAATGGTTGCACCCTTTCACTGCATTTCCATAATATTGAGGATGGGGATCTTTGTGGGGATCTCCTCCTGTTAGTTGTTTAATTTTTCACCACCATTTATGACAGAATGTGGCAGGACTGCAGAAGTTAGACCTGATCTGTTGTTTGTGGGAATTCATTTAGTTTTGTCTATTGCATGCTGCTTCTGCTCTTTGGAGTACAAGTAGTCCTGTGTTGTAGCTTCACCAAGTTGACACTTTGTTTTTAATTATGCCTGGTGCTGCTCATGGCATGGCCTCCTACCCTGTCTCAATTGAACCAGGGTTCATCTCCTGGCTTGATGTTCTGACCACATTCATACCAACAGATGGGCTGATAGTGTCTGGGACATGGTCCATAAGGTGTGATTTTGTAAGAATGACAATGTCAGGCTGGTCAATTAGTCTGGAGAACATCGCTCCTAATTTTGGCTTAAGCTGCAAGTGGTATAGAGAGAAACTTTGTAGGGTTGACAGGGCTGGGTTTGCCGTTAATGCTTCTAGTGCCAAGGTTAATGTGGTAATCCATCCAGTTTCATTCTGAAATATTTTAGGATGGTAATATAATCTAAAACCAAACTATGGCACACTATGTAAGACTTCCTTGTTAAATTCCTGAATACCATTTCCATATCTAGCTGGCAAACCCAACAGCTCTTTCATCTCTGGTTACAATAGAAGTACTGCTAATTTAGAACTTTATATTTAAATTCAACAACTTTCTTGAATTGTCATACACATACAAACACTCGCAAAGAGATAATACTGTGGATGGGGATGAAAAACAAAGTTAGAAAAGCGCGGTTCTGGCAACAGTCTGAATCACAGATGTTTTCTTTTGACTTCTGTTTCTTTGCTAATGAAGCAAGTTTGTGAATACACTGATTCTTAGCCTTTCTTTCACTGAGGATTTGCCCTTTTAGTGCCTCTGAAGGTGGTTTTTCCCCTTTTCCTTTCAACAGGGATTTGCAGAGAGAACAACGTACTGAGTAGGTGAGGGAGAGTAGCTAGCTATGTTGGATTTTCTTTTACTTCTCCAGACACAAGGGAAAGAGAGAGACGAAAGCTTTCTCTTTGTAGGCTAGATGTTCTGCTGTATTGTAGGACAACTGTCCTGGAACCAATCAACTGGCCGGTACAACGCTGAGCCATCCTGAGCTGACAGCAATGAGTCCAGATTGACTCTGGGCAGTGCACGCAGGCAGTACCATTCTGACTGGAATGCTCCCTCCTTGCTTAAATCAGGCAAAATTGGAATACATTGAGAGTTGTGCCTACAATAACTTGTTTTAAGAACTGCAAGCATTATCTTAACAATTTCCTTTCCGTAAAGCAGTATCTCTCACTTCTAGTTCACAGTCCAAAAAAAAAGTGGTCTTTAAATAAGCAAAAGAGAATGCTCTACAGCAGATACTGGAGCCTGAAATTTACCTGCAACTCAATTTCAAATTGAACTAAGGAATTTACAAACAGCTACATATACTCCCTTGAGAATAATAACTATTCTGATCATGTCTGGTTCAACACTATAAACACTGCTTGTATAAAAAAAATCAATTTATAGTTTCTTGTGAAGTTGACTGGTGCTTCACTTAATGATACCATTTCAAAAGCTGCCACATGTCAAGATGAGTCTATTAGACCATTTGGAACACTCCAGTCATCTCTTGTCATTCTAAATATCAACCAATTGCTCTAATACCAAAGAACGTGGTTTCTCAGCTATTTTTAACAATAACTGCAACCTCATTATGACATTATAATCTGTAAGTATTGTGTAATCAAATAATTTGATGATTACATTAACTATAATCCAATTCCAGATCTACAGATTGCAAAATACAACTTGCTTAATCCACTGATGGACTTGTGGATGACATAAGATTATTACAATTCTTTCCACACTCAATACCCACACAGTTGGGTTTACTATCAGTGACTAGTTTAGAATCGGGTAACTAACTCCAGTAAAAACTGAAAGAACTGCAGGTGATGTAAATCAGAAACAAAAACAGAAGTTGCTGGAAAAGCTCAGTGGATCTGGCAGCATCTGTGGAGAGAAATCAGAGTTAATATTTCGAGTCAAGTGACCCTTCCTCAGAATTGCAGCACTAACTTCAGTGTTCTTTTCCTGAAGATATTGAGATCATCTTCCTTAATCTTTTCTCATAGTGTAGATACTCAGCATCTACAGTTATGTTACTGTGTTTGCTCACAATTGTTGTTTATATATTTGGAAATAGTTTTCAAACAGGGAAAGAATACCAGTCTTCAAACAACTTGGACAGCATTGCAAAGTTGAACTTAGCACTCACGCCGTGATCTTTGTTCTAGTGCCCCTTTGGATAAAGCCAGTGATCCAAGCCAGCATGTACATCTGATCAAGTATGATCTCCACACTCCTGAGGGCCTAGCAGTAGACTGGGTTCACAAAAATATATACTGGACAGATTCTGGTACCAGGTCAATCTCCGTGGCAACTGCAGATGGAACCAAAAGAAAGACCCTCATCAATACTCAGCTCGACAAACCCAGAGCTATCTCAGTTGATCCAATTCGAGGGTAAATATTGATAAAATATTTTCCAACATTGTTTATTAATGGAATATATGGATTTTACCCATCTTTATCAAACTTCTGGTCCTGTTAATTAGGTTCATGTATTGGTCGGACTGGGGTAACCCTGCAAAGATTGAGAAAGCTGGGCTGAATGGAGTCGACCGTCAGACACTCATCGCAGACAACATTGAATGGCCAAATGGAATCACTTTAGGTAGATGTTTCAGCAATGTACCAAATGTTAGTGAAATTGATGTAGACTGAGGTGAGAAGCAAAACAGAACTGGGTGTATTTTCCTGCCTTTATATTTCAATAATTTTTTAAACTTGAAGGCGCTAACTGTAGATCTGATATACAACATGACAGGATAAAAGTAACACATTCTCTGCAAAGAGCTAATGAGCAGTCAAAATAGGTCTTGACCACCACTAGTTAAGGTGACCTTGAGCTATAAAATGCAGCAGAAATTTCATAACTATAAAAGTACTTCAAACTGAAGGAAAAGGTCATTTGGCTGAATAAGCCAATCATTTATTTCATAGATTTGTTTTCTAACCATATCCCTCAATCACCTCTAACTACAAGAATGATAACATTTTTATTTAAGTCATTCCCACTGTCCATTTTAAGGGCTAAGAGCCAAGAAACCTCCTATCTGCAGCCTGTAATTTTTCCCCAATTTACTTTATCATAGAATAGAGTAACTGAAGCACTGTTGAGAAAGTAACTGATTATTTAAATAAATCCATCTTCTTAATTCTAATTTCCTAATATTTTACTTGGCATGCTGACATTTGAACGCTTTGCAATTGCTCCCAGACTTCATTAAAGTAAACTAAATTAAGTTAAATTGGAGATGTTCAGTCTATTCTTGGGACAAACTGTTTGCCCAAAGACACAGAAATCAGCTGTGGGTAAGTAGGTTGTATGATCAGTCGCCAAGCCCTTATTTCCCGTTTTACATTAATAGACACAAATTAAAATCCCTCCCAATGTGCCTTTGGTTTTGGATTTAGATCAGGATAGGATAGGACTAATACATGTTGTCCCTGGTGAAAGGCATTGAAGAACCTGCACTGACTGATGGTTTGTATTTGATTTCTAGATTTACTGAACCAGCGTCTGTACTGGGTTGACTCCAAACTGCATGAGCTGTCTAGCATTGACCTGAATGGTGAGAACAGGAAACGATTATTATTCTCAGAAGAATATCTGGGGCATCCTTCTGCTCTCACAGTTTTTGAGGTAAGGCTAGAATCTGGGAGTGCTTTTGTTGGTGCCAAAGTAATTTAAAAAATTATAATTTTTAATTTCATTCAGTACCAAAGCTTCGCTGAATACTTCTTTCTGTGTTGTTATGTCAGCTGCACGGTGGCTCAGTGGTTAGCACTGCTGCCTCATAGTGCTAGGGACACGGGTTCAATTCGGGTGATTGTCCGTGTGGAGTTTGCACATTTTCCCTCTGTCTGTGTGGGTTTCCTCAGGGTGCTCCAGTTTCTGCCCACAGTCCAAAGATGTGCAGGTTAGGTGGATTAGCCATGGGAAATGCAGGGTTACAGGGATAGGGTGGGGGGGTGGGTCTGGATGGGCTGCTCTTTGCAAGGTCAGTGTGGACTTGATGGGCCTTATGGCCTGCTTCCACGCTGTACAGATTCTAAAAATTTATTTCTGCGAAGCCACAGTGAACTTAAAAGTGTACTTCCATTTAAGCAGCTGTTATGCAACTGTGATAAAAAAGACATTTTATCCCACAGTGGATAAGGCATAGAGCTCATCTGAGTCTGCACTTTGTTTTTCTGACTAACAACTGCTGTGCAAGTCCTGGAGTAATGGTTGACCCACCCCAGTACATTGTGTTATCCACGTAGGCATTATTAATGTGTGAGCCTAGTTAGCAGGATGCTTGACTGAGTACATTGTCTAATCTTCCATCATTTTTCTTTCAGCATTGACATTGGTGTACTTAAACATCACCAATAAACTGGAACCCTGGTTTTCCAGTTTTCTTTCTCACGCTACATTCCATCTTACCCTCAACCTTAGGACACTATCTAGCAATCTAATTTTTTTTGGTATGTTATAGCCCCACAGACCTGCTTTAGAGAGTAGAATTGAATATATTGATTCAAAATCACAAGCTGTGATTCTATGATCGCCTCCTATGCGCTGTTAACTTTAAATCTTCAAATCAAATTTAGCGACACACTGTTTGTGACCTATCAAAGTCATCACTTGCCCTGTTGTTTTTGCTTGAATATGAAATACTAACATTGGAACAGGTCAGATTATAATTTACACTGGTATAATGGCCAATCACACTGAAATCTTGGGAGCAAAAGTTAGGATGGCACAATTGCCAGCCAAAACATCAGAGTACACTGTAAGGTTTCAACTTCAAATTTTCCATGCTCCTGTTAATTCAATGAAGGGCAGGCCTTCTATTCTTGAAAAGAAAGTAACAATCAGCACCATAATTCTGCTGTCTTCACTTTAGTAAATGAACAATGAGGACAAGCCAACACAGAGTTGCAGATTACAAGTATAGCAGTACATTTGCAGTCTTATTTAAATCCCATTAGCTAAGCACCTTTGATTTTTGTGCCGTGTCTCTCAGCCATTTGCTTTAACGGTTACAGCATATATTAATTTGTTTTGCTATTACAGGACAAGATTTATTGGACTGATATTAATCATGAAACTATTTACTGTGCAAACCGACTGACTGGAAAAGATGTGATATCGCTTGCGAATAACCTGTACAATCTACACGACATTATCATTCTCCATGAATTAAAACAGCCGAAAGGTGATTCCTGTCAGAATCTGCTTTAGTCTCAATGTATACTTCATTATTGAACCTTTTTTGTTTAACTTTGTCCAGATTTCAAACCTGAAAGCTTTTCTTTCTTGAAACAGTTACTAGCTTCTGTGCAGATGGTGCTGCACCAAATGGAGGATGTCAGTACCTGTGCTTGTCAGCTCCCCAGATCAACATCCATTCTCCAAAATACACATGTGCTTGTCCTGACAACATGAAACTTGGGCAGGATATGAGAAAATGTTATAAAAGTGAGTGTGTTTTGAATTTGTTAATGCATTTGGGAATTTTTGGTTTTCAGTTTTTCGGAGGCGACATTTCTTCACATGAAAAGTAAAGTCTGAGGGGTGGCCTGGTAGATATTTTTAAGATTGTGAAAAGCTTTAATAGGTTAGATATCGAGAAGTTTCCACTTCTGGGTATGATCAAAACTTAGGGCAATAAGATAGTCATTAATAAACCCAATTCAAAATTTCGACAAGAATGTTTTGGGTGAGTAGCAAAGATGCATTTAAAGGGAAGCTAGACAGTTGCATGAGGGGGAGAAAAAAAAGAGGAAGAAATAGGAAGAGGCTTTGGTGAGGCATTAATAGCAGCATGGATAAGTTAAATTGAATGGTGTGTTTGTGTTATACATTGATTGTGTGATAAATACTGAGGAGGAAAGCTTTAGACTACAGGACAATAAAGATGGGCTGGTCAGATGGATTGAACAATCTCAAACGGAATTTAATCTTGAAAAGTGTGATGTGGTGCACTTTGGGAGGATTAACAAGGAAAGGAAATAAAAGTTGAATGTAAAGTCTTTGAGAAGATTTGTAGCCAGGGTTGTGGATGAGGTTGTAGACTTGCTCATCAAGCCGGTGTGTTTGATTGCAGACGTGTTGTCACCCTGGTAGGTAACCTCTTCAGTGCGCCTCTTGTGAAGTGTTTGTGTTCTACCCTGCTTGTTATTTATATGCTTTAGTTTGCTGGGTGGGGAGTGGGTGGTGGGTGGCGTGGCATCACTTTGGTTCTGTTTTTCAGTGGTTTGTGTATCAGGTCCAGTTCTATGTGTTTGTTGATGGAATTCCGGTTGGAATGCCAGGCCTCCAGGAATTCCCTGGCACATCTCTGTTTGGCTCATGCTATTATGGATGTATTGTCCCAGTCGAATTCGTGCCCTTCTTTGTTCACGTGTATTGAGACCAGTGAGAATTGGTCATGTCTCACTAGTCTCAATACACATGGACAGAGAAGCAACACCTCATATTCTGCCTCAGGAGCCTACAGCCTGGTGGCCTAAACATGGAATTTACCAATTTAGATGAGCATTTGAAACACCGCAGTGTACAAGGGTATGGGCCAAGTCCTGGAAAATTGGCTTAGAGTAGATGGATGTTTAGTGACTGGCGTGGACACAATGGGTCAAAGGACAGGTTTCCATACTGTAAACATTCTATGACTCTATAATTCTCACTCCTGCAACTCCAGTCCTTTATCTGGATCCAAGAGATTTGCTGCCTTCTGGAATTGAGTCACTTCAAACTTTTGAATGTTTAGATTGTTGTTTCTGTTTCTATTTCTTGACTCTGTTTCTGTACCTTTTCAAAACAGCTGAAAAGCTTCCAACTGTTCCCTCAGTTAGCAGTGGCAAACCAACTGCAAGGCCTGGCACAGCTTCCTTTAGTACAGAGGTTCCTGCAAATATAACCAACAAAGCTGGTGCGACAATTCTATTCAGCATCACCACGGGAGATCCACAACAGCTCTTCCCTGGCAGCACTGACGCAGACAATTTAATCCACGAGAACAGTTCCTCATCATCTTGTAAGTCTTACAATACAATGCACCTCATCAGGTTTTCTTGCAGCAGTTACTTCACTAACAAGGAGATTTGTTCCCAGGTGGCCAAGGAGTGCTGGCTCTGACTGACATTCTGTTATCTGTTTGACTTAAACTAATCATGTTTCAACATCATTTGGATTAGGGACATCAGTGCCCCTCAAGATGCTGCAGTCTCATGGGATGATAGTAGTTTCCTTTTTCCCTTTGTTTCACTGTCACATTTAATGAATCAACATCAAATTTATCCCCTCTTTCCATCTCTCCCTCCTTCCTTAATTGATTTTTTTGAATTCTCAGCTTGTTTTCTATTTCTCTACTGTGCCTCAAAACGTGAGCAGTTTGCCTCCTTCAATATTCCGAGGGTGTATGTGAACTAAGATTTTAAAACTCAAAGGTGAAACGCTATGAATAATAGAAATCTGAAATAAAAACAAAGTGATGGAAATACTCATCAGCTCTGGCAGGATCTGTGGAGAGAGAAACTGAGGCTCAGTTCTTCTATTCAGGATCAGAAACATATTTCCAATCCTACCCAGACCAAAACCAAAATACACGCATGCATTTAGAGAAGTTCTCTGAGCTAATTTGCAGGTTGGGAACCTTCTCAGCTGAAGCAGTCTAGATTAATCCATGAACTTGTGCAGGCAGCAACAAAGTGGGTTAGTGTTGAAACTACCCCCCATTTTCATGACAATTCCTGCCTTATTGTATTTGAAGGCCTTGAAGCCACTTTCCCAATGATTGAGGAGGTGGTAACTGTGGGAATTAGGGTAGCAGTTGGGCTATGGTGACAGGTTAAATAGCCAAATACTTAGGTTAGTGTGGGGTGGGGGGATTGTTGAAAGGATGTCATTAGAGACACCACAGTGCTTAGGAGTTAGAGCAGGTTTTAATTCCTCTCATTTGTCCTGGCTAAGTATTATGCTAAGTTAGTCAGAACCTTCTGAAATTTACTACTCAAACTTAGTTGAGGACGATCAGATGATTTGGAATCAGAAGATTCCCCAGTGGAGTTTTCAACTTTCAGGACAGTTCCTGGGGAGTTGGTTGCATTGGGATTGCTGCATGTGCTCAGTTGGTAACTCCAAACAACATTGCTGCAATGGTTAGCTCCCATTGGAGGATCCAGGCCAATGTTAACCTAGCTATGACATTTAGAGCTCTTAGTGGAAGCTAATTAATCTCTAACTTCAGCCCCTGCATTTATGTTTCCAAGCCACTACTTCCAAACGTCTCCTACTGTCTACAGAGCAGACCTTCATCTGGATTTTATTAAAAATAAAGCTAAGACAAAGTGCTCAGCAAATATTGGGGAAATGAAGCTTCAGCTGCCTTCCTTCACTGCACTGTTTTCTCACAGCAGAATCCTCTGACATTTGAGCACCAGCCAGGAATATAATAGTGGTTTTCTATCTTTCCACAGCTGATGACGGCAAGAAGTTGAGTTCGACTCATGCCATTGTGGGAATTGTTATCCCAATAGGTAGGTGACTATACTGATACCTCCCTCCCATGTATAACATACCTATGTATTTTGTTTTGTGTTCGCTCAGAAAAATGGAACACCTTCAATTTTGAAACTTCTGATGTTCACATCAATACTCCCGGTAAAGGATTATAAATTTTTGACTTGAAAATTAAGCCAACACAGACTGCATTTCACATCAGTTTCATATGGGCAACACTCAGAAGAGACATTTTCATATTATTAGCCGAGGCATTTTTCCATAGAATGTGGCCATTGCTGACTAGGCCAGCGTTTATTTCCCATTCCTAATAGCCATGGTACAGGTGATGACGAGCTGCCTTCTTCAACCACAGCAGATCATTTTGTATAGGAACACTACAATGCTGTTAGGGAAGGAGTTCCAGGGTTTTGCCTTCATGACATTAAAGGAACAGCGATTTGTATTTTCATATCAGAATGATAAGTGATGGGAAGTTCCAGGTGGTGGTGTTCCCATGTATCCACTGCCCTTGTCCTTCTAGATGGAAATGGTTGTGATTTTGGAAGGTGCAGTCTGTGGAGCTTTGAAACATTTCTGCTGTCCATCTTGTAGATAGTACACCCTGCTGCTACTGAACGTCAGTGGTGAAGAATGAACGTTTGCATGTATGGTACCAAACAAGTGGGCTGATTTGGCATGGACAGTGTCAACCTTGTTGAGTGTTTCTGGATCTGCATCCATGTAGACAAATGGGACCACATTCCTGACTTGTGCCTTAAGATGGTGGACAGCTCTGGGGAGGCAGGAAATGAGTTACATACTGCATGATTCCTAACCTCTGACCTGCTCTTGACACCAGAGTATTTATATGGCTAGTTTAGTTCAGTCTCTGATTAATGGTAACCCCAAGGATGTTGATGGTAGGATATTCAGTAATGGTAATGTCGTTGAATGTTAAAGGACAATTTTCTCTTGTTGGAAATGGCCATTGCCTGTTGCTTGTGTGGTGCAAATGTTACTTGCCACTTGTTAACTCAATCCTGGATATTGTCCAGGTCTTGCTCAGTTTGAACACAGTCTGCTTCAGGAGTTGCAAATGGTTCTGAACATTGTGCAATCATTAGTGAACACCCTGCTCTGAAGATGGTTGGGCCGAGGACACCCTGCGGACAACTCTTGCAGAGATGTCTCGAAGATGAACTGGCAGACTTCCAACAACCACAACCATCTTCCTTTTGTGCTAAGTATGACTTCAGTCAGATGAGAGTTTCTCCCCTGATTCTCTTTGACTTGTTTTCTTGGGCCTCCCTGATGCTGTACTCTGTCAAACGTGACCTTGATGTCAGTAAGTAAGTGCTGCATGATAGAGACGTTGATGACTTCTTCCATCACTTTACTGAAGATTGAGAGTAGAGTGAGACAGTAATTGGCCAAGTTTGGATTTGTCCTGCCTTTAAATGTACAAGGCAAACCGGGGAAAATTCCACATTGTCACATACGTGCCAGTATTGTAGCTGTACTGGAACAGCTTGGCTAGGGTGCAGCAAG